ACCGTACCATACACCACCTTACCATACACCACCGTACCATTCACCACCATACCATTCACCACTGTACCATACACCACTGTACCATACACCACCGTACCATACACCATCGTACCATACATCACCGTACCATTCACCACTCTACCATACACCACTATACCATACACCACCGTACCATACATCAAGGCAAAATACACCACCGTACCATTCACCACTGTACCATACACCACCGTACCATACACCCCCGTACCATACACCACCATACCATTCATCACTGTACTGTACACCATCGTACCATTCACCACTGGACCATACACCCCTGTACCATACACCACTGTACCATACACCACTGTACCATACACGATCATACCATTCACCACTGTACCATACACCATCATACCATACACCACGTTACAATACACCACCGTACCATACACCAGCTTACCATTGACCACCGTACCATACACCACAGTACCATACACCACCAAACTATACCATACACCACCAAACCATACCATACACCACTGTACCATACGCTACCGTACCATACACCACCGTACCATACACCACTGTACCAAACAGCACCAAACTATACCATACACAACCAAACCATACCATACACCACCACACCATACCATACACCACTCTACCATACGCCACCGTACCATAGACCATCATACCATACACCACCGTACCATTCACCACCGTACCATACACCACCGTATCATACAACACCGTACAATACACAACTGTACCATACACCAGTATACCATTCACAACCGTACCATACACCGCCGTACCATACACCACTGTACCATACACAACTGTACCATAAACAGCCATACCATACACCACTGTACCATTCATCACTGTACCATACAACACTATACCATACACAACCGTACCATACTATACACCACCATACCATACCCAACCATACCATACACCACCATACCATATATCATAGTACCATGTAGTACCATGCACAACTGTACCATACACCACCATACCATACACCACCGTACCATACACCACGGTACCATACACCACTACCATACACCACCATACCATACACCACCTTACCATACACCACCATAACATACACCACTGTACCATACACCACCGTACCATACGCCACTGTTCCATACACCACCATACCTTACACCACCGTACTTTACACCACTATACCATACACCACCGTACCATACACCACTATACCATACACCACCGTGCCATACACCACTGTGCCTTACACCACCATACCATACACCACTGTACCATACACCACTATACCATACACCACTGTACCATACACGACTATACCATACACCACTGTACCATTCACCACTATACCATACACCACTGTACCATACACCACTATACCATACACCACCTTACTATACTCCACTGTACCATACACCACTATACCATACACCACCGTACCATTCACCACCGTACCATACACCACCATACCATACACCACTATACCATACACCACCTTGCCATACACCACCTTGCCATACACCACCGTTCCATACACCACCATACCATACACCACCATACTATTCACCACCGCACTATATATAACCATACAATACACCACCATACCATACACCACTGTACCATACACCACTGTACCATACACCACCGTAACATGTACCATTGTACCATATACCACCGTACCATACACCACCGTACAATACATAACTGTACCATACACCACCGTACAATACATAACTGTACCATACACCACCGTACAATACATAATAGTACCATATACCACCGTATAGTACACCACTGTACCATACACCACCGTACCATACACCACTGTACCATACACCACCGTACCATACATCACCGTACCATACACCACCGTACCATACACCACTATACCATACACCACCGTGCCATACACCACTGTGCCTTACACCACTGTACCATACACCACTGTACCATACACCACTATACCATACACCACTGTACCATACACGACTATACCATACACCACTGTACCATTCACCACTATACCATACACCACTGTACCATACACCACTATACCATACACCACCTTACTATACTCCACTGTACCATACACCACTATACCATATACCACCGTACCATTCACCACCGTACCATACACCACCATACCATACACCACTATACCATACACCACCTTACCATACACCACCTTACCATACACCACCGTACCATACACCACCATACCATACACCACCATACCATTCACCACCGCATTATATACCACCATACCATACACCACCATACCATACACCACTGTACCATACACCACTGTACCATACACCACCTACCATACACCACCCGTGCCATACACCACCGTACCATACACCACCATACCATACACCACCATACCATTCACCACCGCATTATATATACCATACACCATACACCACCATACCATACACCACTGTACCATACACCACTGTACCATACACCACTGTACCATACACCACCGTAACATGTACCATACATATACCACCGTACCATACACCACCGTACAATACACCACTGTACCATACACCACCGTACAATACATAACTGTACCATACACCACCGTACCATACATAATAGTACCATATACACCCATAGTACCACCACCGTACCATACACCACCGTACCATACACCACTGTACCATACACCACCGTACCATACACCACCGTACCATACACCACCGTACCATACACCACCGTTCCATACACCACCGTTCCATACACCACCGTACCATACACCACCGTTCCATACACCACCGTACCATACACCACCGTACCATACACCACCGTACCATACACCACCGTTCCATACACCACCGTTCCATACACCACCGTACCATACACCACCGTTACCACCGTACCATACACCCACCGTACCATACACCACCGTACCATACACCACCGTACCATACACCCACACGTACCATACACCACCGTACACCATACACCACCGTACCATACACCACCGTACCATACACCACCGTACCATACACCACCGTACCATACACCACCGTACCATACACCACCGTACCATACACCACCGTACCATACACCACCGTACCATACACCACCGTTCCATACACCACCGTATAATACACCACTGTACCATACACCACTGTACCATACACCACCGTACCATACACCACCGTACCATACACCACTACCCTACACCACCGTACCATACACCACTGTACCATACACCACTGTACCATACACCACTGTACCATACACCACCGTACCATACACCACCGTACCATACACCACTGTACCATACACCACCGTACCATACACCACTGTACCATACACCACTGTACCATACACCACTGTACCATACACCACTGTACCATACTCCACCGTACCATACACCACCGTACCATACACCACCGTACCATACACCACCGTACCATACACCACCGTACCATACACCACCGTACCATACACCACCGTACCATACACCACCGTACTATACACCACCGTACCATACACCAGCATTATTCTATTTCACAGAAAAAATGCAATATTTATCTCCTCTCGTGGAAGCTGATTTGATTAATTTTTGTCCTCCAAACTTTTGAACCCATCACCGGCACACAACAACAGTTCCATTGATCCACAGCCTTTGAGAGCGCCCTAAAAGTGAAGGTGCTCTTCAATTCTATACAGCGGTGTTCAATTGTTCATAATGGCGATACTCCGCGCGTTGGATGAATGGGTACCGGGCTGCTATTAGGGTGGCTTGCGTTCGAACCCCCACCTTGAGGCATCATTTGAGTTTAAAGTTGATAAACTGTAGCCAAGGCTACCATACGCCGACTACAACTGGCCTAGTGTCTACCAGGGCTACCATACACTGACTATAACTGGCCTAGTGTCTACCAGGGCTACCATACGCCGACTACAACTGGCCTAGTGACTACCAGACTACCATACGCCGACTACAACTGGCCTAGTGTCTACCAGGGCTACCATACACTGACTACAACTGGCCTAGTGTCTACCAGGGCTACCATACACCGACTACAACTGGCCTAGTGACTACCAGACTACCATACGCCGACTACAACTGGCCTAGTGTCTACCAGGGCTACCATACACCAACTACAACTGGCGTAGTGACTATCAGGGCTACCATACACCGACTACAACTGGCCTAGTGTCTACCAGGGCTACCATACACTGACTATAACTGGCCTAGTGACTACCAAGACTACCATACACCAACTACAACTGGCGTAGTGACTATCAGGGCTACCATACACTAACTACAACTGGACCAGTAACTACCAGGGCTACCATACACCGACTACAACTGGCCCAGTGACTGTCAGGGCTACCATACACCGACTACAACTGGCCCAGTGACTGTCAGGGCTACCATACACTAACTACAACTGGCCCAGTAACTACCAGGGCTACCATACACCGACTACAACTGGCCCAGTGACTGTGCACCAGGGCTACCATACATAGACTACAACTCAGGATTAAGAAACAGACATTAAAAGTACCTAGATGCAGCTATAATCACGAGCAAACTATTCATAATACTAAAACAATCGATGAATTCAGTTTTTACTAATCGTCACTGGTGACTTCTCGAAAGGTGTGTCTACGAGCAAGAAGGTAGTACAGTACTACCTAAGAAAATATTTTGAAAGTTTTCATTGAAATAAAAAATATATTTATGAAATTATAGGTGCAAATTTGGACTTGAAGGCAATTAATTAACACGAAACACAATGAATATGCAAATAATCGAGGGTACTGCAAGATACCAATCGAATTTAGCGGTATAATGTATACAGTGTATCTTTATATATACTGGCTACAGTAAAAGCTTAAATACAGGTGAATAAAATACATAAAAAATTATATACACTGACTTACGATAAAAAGCGCAACATGCACGTCATCAGTACGAATATACAAAATAAATATATGCGGTGCAGTGCAGGAGGCAGAGAAATAGTATTTACCTCGAACCGTTGGCAGTCTCGCTTCGTCTGCTGGTCTCAGAGCCTCGTCTTGTACGCTCTTTCCTTGTGTTGATAAAGAAAAATACTACATTATATACTGCAAAAGTCTCCAGTGATGACCGTATTAACCACACGCTCTAAGGCCATCCATCTAATCCTCTGCCTAATTTCATTCTGAACACCACGCGTCAGTAATCCTATATATATATTATATATATATATATATATATATATATATATATATATATATATATATATATATATATATATATATATATATATATATATATATATATATATATATATATATATATATATATATATATATATATATATATATATATATATATATATATTCTAGCACACATCTTCCTTATTTGTCTCATGTTCTTTACTTGCGAAGTTTATATATTAACTCTCAAAAGTTAAATTTTTTGTTTCATTTGCCCTACGGCCGCTAAGAGAGGCGTTTCGTTGACTCATGTCATCGTTTTCAAGAGCAGTGAAATGGATACAATTTAGCTGAAGCAGCTAAGGCTAAGGTTAAGTAAAGTGTTGCATAGGTCAGTGGCCTTCTGTAGTTTCGTTACGTGTTATGTTTGCTGAGGCAGTGTGTGCTGGACCCTCAGGATGGTCAAATGTTTCTGAGAGTAATCTGGCTGTCAATAGCTGAGTAAGATTTTTGATTTGTAGTGCTTCGACCATGTCTAATCTTTTATTGTCATATCTGTTGATTATTTCGGTGTGTTTGTCAGACTATCTCTGGTGCAGCTCTGGTTGTCAGGATTTCTCTGATGCTGTTCTGGTTTGGTGTAGAAATGACAGGCTCTTTGATCGAACTGTGTTCTTTGTGCATTGTGAGGCCATATCTGAATTGAATGTTAACTTTGGAAAGTGAATTTTTGAACTTCATTCTCAAGTCAAGAAAAAATTATAAAACATAGAAAAGATTGGTGCTAGAAATATTGGTCTAACTCCATTCTGTAATATTCAATATACTTTTCGTAACTAGATTCTAATCTAGGTGGGAGTCGGAGCCACATGTTCGGCCGCAGAAGATTTCAGGGAAGAGTCACATGTTGATAAGAGTGACTGTCAGAAAGTTTGACTAAAGTTGTGAGAGAGGAAGCAGGCAGCTGTGCAGCGGCCGTAGTTCCAACCCACGCTATCAGCGACCTCAAGATAAAAGGGCGAACACAGACGAGAACAGAAATAAATAGTGATTTAGAAAATAGAATTAGAACGAAAATGATCTTACTTCGAGTTCCAGTAGACCTTGGTGATGACGTGGTAGGACGTCCTCCTCCAGCCCTTCTTCTTGAGGATGTTTCCAAGCTGTACCTCGGCTCTACCTCCACTGTAGGCCTCACTGAGGTCGAACAGGTTGATCCCGGCATCGTAGGCCACTGTGATGATCTCCTCAGCTGTCTCCTCCGTCACCTGGGGGCTGAACGTCACCCAGGTACCTGTGGAGAGTGATTAGTCTGAGGGCTTGTCCAGGTACCTGTGGACAGGCCTTAGTCTGAAGGCTTGGCTGGGTACCTGTGGACAGTCCTTAGTCTGAGGGCTTGCCCAGGTACCTCTGGAGAGTGCCTGCCATGGGCAAAATATCCACTTAGCGTTATGTTAGTTATGGCCAATAGTTGTAGACCAGAACAAAAACACAGAGCTAATCATTGTTATTAATTGACCCCGAGCTATGCAGCCCCTTGAAACAGAGAGACTGTCAGGATAAATAAATATATTGAATAACCTCTTAAACAATAATTTGACGTTAGAAAATCATTTATATTTTTGTTACTTAGCAGATAGCTCGGATAAATTAGGTAATCAAAAAGTTAATATCAAAGAGTTTAATGGAGAGTGGGCATCACACTCGGCGCAGCCAGAGACCCAGCTGGAGGCAAAGCGACGTCAACTGAGGCAGTCTACCAAAACAAAGCCTCATGGTGGGACTCCTGGTTCAAGCTTGACGCGGAGCGGACGTCTGGACGCCTCCTCCGCCCAACCCATCCTCCAAACAATGACCCAAAAGTGATTCCATGCACCCGCCAAACCGCCTGTTTGTGAATGAATAAATGTTACACATGACTCACAACTGATTTCGTTCGAACATTTCCAGAACAAGTGTTTCATTGACGAATTTTGTTCGAACCACAACGCTATAAATGCTTCACCCACGTACTACAAATACAAATAATCGCCAACAGAACCAAAACATCTAACCTAACCTAACCTATGCCTATATATGCACAAATAAGCTAATATATTATAATAATAAATTATGTTTGAGAAAATTTCCGTTTTGAATGAACAGCATGTAAAAGTTTATGAATGCGTCTGTGGGGTCGACCACTGGATGTAATGGATTTGAGTCGAGGATGGGTTGTCTCCGCCTGGAAGCCACCGGTTCACGTTTGGTTTTTCGATTTTGGATTTGATACTGCCGTTTAGCATTCCTCTTCAACGGTCCGGTTTGTACAACTCCAGGCGCACATATCGCCTTGGGTCACCGGGTTGTTGATAGATTTTTTTTTTACGTGTTCTGGTTGGTTCTCCCGGCGGGGTGACGGTGTCTGTCGCCGGCTTGGCCGAGAGGTGCCGGAAGTTGGTGGGTTTTGGTGGGCTCCTGGTGGAGCCCAACGCCCACCCTCAGCCGTGGTGGGCGGATGGTTTCTGCTCTGCCGAGGAAGCACTATATGACTTTTGCGTTTTAGCTGGGAGCCGAGTTTTTGGTTTTACTACCTGGTGTTCTCTGTGTGGGACGGCCCGGTGCTTGTTACCCTGAAAGACTCCTGGGGCTCCCCCAATCATCTGCCTGTCTGCGTTTCTTTGCCGCGAGGCATATCAGTTTCCAGTGATTGGCGTCACTCGTTTCACGATTCGGCTTGGCGTTTCACCTTTCCAGGCTTCGGGATTAACCCTTTACGGGTACGCTGGGGCGCATCCGATCCCACGATCGTCGTCGCCCATAAATTAAATAAACAATAAGCCTCACGGTGTGTGGTGCTGATTTTCATCTCTTGGAGACGAAAAAACGCAGAAAGTCTATAATAAGTAATTACTTTCACCCAGTTTAATTATTAAAGTGTAATAGGCTGGATACAAGATAAATAAAGAAGTGTAAGAGTGTGTAATAGAATCAGTGAACCACTATAGACGCCATTACTACACCAAACTACTTCCCACTTCACCATTGTTCCTCGCCTCAGTTAAGTACTTAACTTACAGTGCCCAGCCCGCTAAGAGGGCTATTAAAAGTCCTAACAAATTAACCAAAGAGTTTGGGCACCCGTTTTTCTGCCGTCAAATTTAAGGGACGGTTTGTGGTACATTAGACTTCTTTCAGGATCGTTTCGAAAATGTTATATTTATGCCATTAATCGTTTGTGTGTAAGCTTTTGGACATTTAGCGGGCTTACAGAACATCAAGAGGTTTGTGTCAGTTGCAGACTTTGCAGTAATAACTAAACTAGCTAAGTCAATAAACCCTTAACAGTTTTTCAACTGAATTTGGGATTAACTCAGTGATATACTGGAACAAATTAATTTAACTCAGTGATAGTTAATTTAATAGGTAATCTTTATTATTGAAAATATAAGCTAGGTAAGCTAGTAATTAATTAATTTACCAGTGTTTGCTGCACTTTAATGTTATTTAATCCTTAATAAGAATTTAATAAAGATATTGCTGGTAGGTGTGAGGGAACAGGGGTCACCCTCTCTGGACTTTGCTCACTCCCCACACTTAACCAACCCAAGGCTACCATCTTCAAGTTGTTTTGTTTGTTTAATTCTCGCAGAAATACTCCAGGAGTAGGAACACAGTACTCATTGTATAAACTCGCCTTGAAGGACAACCAATTCTACTGCTACGTTGGTGACTCATATAAGCTTGTAAGCTTGTAAGATAAGTGTGTAAGCTTGAGAATACTCTGAGTGTACTCATATTGAGTACGTTGCTTGTGACGTAGAGAGTGAGTAAGACCAGGAAAGAGAGCCTCAGGGTACTGAGTCACAAGCCCTTGCTGAGTGTCAGGACTCTCAAAGCACGAGCTCATTAACATACAAAACCACGACATATTTTCTCTTTGTTTACATTGAATAAACTGTTTATGGGCATCGAAACTCCCCAATCAAGTGTAATTTTTGTTATAAACACCATCCTGATGAATATGAGCTCATAGACTGTTTAATATATGTAAACAAAGCCTCGAAGGATTGAGAAAAGAAGTACTAGTTTCGTTTCCTTGATGCGCAACTGCTTGATAAGTCCTAGTAGTGGTAAGTGCCCGCTGGTGACCAGTACTTGGGTGCTCTGACAGTAGTGGTCACACTGTTAATGGGGTCCTGTTTAGAGTACATGGTATCTGAAGAGAGGGTCGCCCAAGTACAGTAGAGAGTATTCTTAGTAGGTTACAGTGGAGGAGGGGAAGGGAGGGAGAGAGAGAGAGAGAGAGGGGGGGGGGGAGGGGGGCAGGCTCTGGGCTGTGGTAAAAATTTTTTTACAGTAGGCAAAGGCACCAACAGTGTGGATCTGGGCAACTATACGACTGATCAATATAACACTGATTACATAATTGATCAACATAACACTGATGAACATAACACTGATCAAAATAAATCGGACAAAATAACACTGATCAACTATAACACATATAAACTATAAAACTGATCAACATAACACTGATCAAAATAATATTGACCAAATAACACTGATGAACATAACATTGATCAACCTAACACTGATCAACATAACACTGATCAAAATAACACTGATCAAATTAGCACTGATTAACCTAACACTGATAAACATGACACCGATCAACATAACACTGATGAAAATAACACTGATCAACCGAACACTGATCAACATAACAGTGATTAACATAATACATCAATAAGAAACTGATCAACCTAACACTGATCAACATAACACAGATCAACATAACACTGATAAACCTAACACTGATCATATATAACACTGATAAACGTAACATAGATCAAAATAATACTGATCAATCTAACACTGATCAACCTAGCACTGATCATATATAACACTGATCCACTATATCACTGATTAACATAACACTGATCAACAATAACACTGATAAACAATAACACTGATCAACATAACACTGATCAACATAACATTAATCTACTATAACACTGATCAGTATAACACTGATCAAAATAACACTGAACAGCCTAACAATGGTCAACATAAAACTGATCAATATATCACAGATCAACAGTAACACCGATTACCATAACATAAAACTGATGAACATAACACTGATTCATAACACTGAAAATCATAACTGATCAACATAACACTGATCAACAAAATACTGATCAACATAACACTGATCAACCATAACACTGATCAACATAACACTGATCAACATAATACTGACCTACATAAAACTGATCAACCATAACACTGATTAACATAACACTGAACAACAAAACACTGATTAACATAACACTGATCAACTATAACACTGATCAACCAAACACTGATCAACCTAACACTGACCAAAATATCAATGAGCAGCATAACACTGATCAACATGACACTGAATAATACAACACTGATCAACATAACACTGATCAACTTAAAATTGAATAACTATAACACTGACAAACATTACATTGATCAACAAAACACTGATCAACATAACACTGATCAACATAACACTAATCAACAGTAACACTAATCAACTAAATCATTGATCAACATAACACTGATCAATAATAAGACTGACCAATATAGCACTGATCAAACTAACACCGATCAGCCTAACATTGATCAAAAAACACTGATCAATATAATTGATGAAAATAACACAGTTCAACCTAACACTGACAAACATAACACTGATCAAAATAACACTGATTGAAATGACACTGATCAAAATAGCACTGATCAACCAAACACTGATCAACATGAAACTGACCAACATAACACTGATAAAAAAACACTGATCAACCTAACACTAATACACATAACACTGATCAAAATAACCCCCAATCAAAATAACACCGATAAACATAAGACGGACCAACCTAACACTGATCATATATAACACAGATCAAATATAACACTGATCAACAAAACACTGATCAACAATATTACTGATCAACAATAACACTGATCAACTATAACACTAATCAACTATAACACTGATCAACAATAACACTGATCAATATAACATTGATCAACTATAACACTTATCAACCTAACACTGATCAACTATTATACTGATCAACTATATCACTGATCAAAATAACACTGATCAACATAACACAGATCAACTATAACACTGATCAACAATAACACTGAGCAACCTAACACTGATAAACATAACACTGATCAGTGTAACAGTGATCAAAATAACACTGAAAACACTAACACTGATCAACATAAAACTAACACTGATCAACATAAAACTAACACTGATCA